CCAGGCTGGGCCGGGCACTCACTCAAGAGCCTAGGCGATCACTCAGGAGCCCGGGCTGAGCGGGAGATGGCTTGCCTGGTGGGCTCTCCTTTCCTGCGTTTGAGCCCCCGGGGCCGCCTGCTGCCTTTGCAGCACCGCCTGGGCACTAGGATCTCACTTCCCCGGAAGCCTCAGCTCCTCGTCCCATCCCCGCAGATCTTTCTCTGCAAGTGTCTTTGGCTGTGTTCTCAAATTTCTCCTCTCCTACACTTCATCCTTAATATAGGTTTTGGGCATGAGTCTTCTTATGTTTATCTGTCCATCTGTCTCCTTGGCCCTTTCTCCTTGGGCTCCCCTCCCCTGCCCCCGCTGATTGTATTCAGTTCCCAATGACTGGTGTCTCTCACCTCCCCCCCACCCCACCGACCCAGCCTGTGCCAGATGCCTGAGACACTCTAGGCTCTGTGCTGAGTTTTACAAATATCATTTCTTTTCATCCTTGAAACAACCCTATCAGGTGGGCACTATTCTCAGCCCCTCAACATATGAAGCTCACCGTAGCCTCAGGGTCTTTGCACTGCCTGTTCCCTCTGCCTCTTGAGCTCTCCTGGATCTTCACATAACTTACTCCCTCACTCCTGGGCTCTGCTTAGATGTCACCCTGGCTGAGGCCTTGCCTCATCACCCTGTTTGAAATAGTTTCCTCACCATCACCCTCCTTACCCCCTTTTCTCTTGATTTTCCTTCCTGACACTTAGAGCATCAACATACTATATATTTTACTTATAGGTTGACAGTCTCCTACTAGAATATAAGGCCTCAGGGGCAGTGCTGTTTCCTGCTATTCGCCAGCACGCAGAACAGTGGCACGTAGTGGGCACTTAATTTCCACTTTATGGGCAAAGGCCCAGAGGCTCAGAGAAGCTAAGAACTTTGCTTCAGGCCTGTCAGGCAGTCAGCAGCAGAGCCAAATGTGGACTCGGAAGCATCGGACTTTAGATTTCCACCAACAACTGTCTTGGGATGAGCTCGGTGAAGGAGGCTGGTAACAAGGCTGGTAACAGCTGGGTCTTGGACTGGCGGGTCCCCAGGAGGGCACAGCCAATGGTGGGGGCCCCCCGGAGAGGGAAGCTTGAGGGAGCAGCGCTGCCCTGCCTGGAGGTGGGCCTGTCCTGCCGGGGCGCGAGACCGGCCGCAGCCATCCAGCAGGGAGCAGGGCCGGCCAGTCCAGTCCACGCAAGCAGGGTTTCCACTTGGGTGGTTCCCGCCAAATCTTCGCCCCGTGTCCTCAGGCCTGGAAGGAGCTGACCGCTGTGGCCGTGGGGACCAAGGCAAGTCACCCCCCCACACACCAGCCTCAGTTTCTTCTGCTGTAACATGGCAGAAGGGGCATCGAACTGGATAAGCTTCCGGGGCCCTTCACTTCTAAAGACCAAGGCTCTTCTGATTTTTCCAGCCCCAGATCCAGCTCAGCTCTCAGAAGCTGCGCATGGCGGGCTGTGGAGGCCCCACTCCTCCCCAGCTCTGCCAGCTGTTTATTGAGCACATACTGTGTGCTAGATACTTGCCTTGTAGAAGCTCACACAGTCCCGCAGCACCCCCAGCGGGCACGGGTGCTGCCCCCATTCTGTAGTGAGAGGCGGGTACAGAGTGCACCATTCACCCAGTGAGCGGCCGGGCCAGAGCCAGGGACTAGGCCATCTGGCCCCAGGGCTCCTTAGCTCTTTGCGCCTGGTCTCTGCTCAGCAGGGGCCAGCGGGCAGGAGGTGGATGTGCCCACCGCCAGCTGTATAGGATGGCCGGGCAAGAGGCTGCTCAGCAGTCTCCGCGCAAGGCCTTGATGTCTAAATAGGGTGCTTCTGCAGCCACTGCCTCACTCCTTGGCCCCCTTTGGCCCTGGCAGCCCTCTGTCAAGAGAGTGGGAGAAAAAAAAGCAGCGTCCCTGCCACCAGAGGGGAAGAGCTCTGATTGCGCTTGCTTAGGACCACCACTTACAAAATCACTCGGTTTGGGAACAACGTAGGGGACAGAGGAATAATTGGGGCCCCGAAGAGGGAACTGTAACCTCCGCACTGACCTGGGGCAACATGCCAGCGCCCATATGCCTGCATCTGTCCCAGCCCGGCCTCAGGTCTGTGTCCTCAGGGTGGGGGCTGGGGGGCTTTCTGGGGCCTGCCTGGCGCCGGCTGCCAGCCCTTGGAGAGGTCACCGGGGAGACTGAGGCCCCAAGGAGGGGTCACCAAGGAGGAGTGTTTGGTTCGAGGGCCGAGTGGAAAGAACTCTGAGTCGGGGATCCTGGCCTCAGTGTGGTCCTGAGCGAGTCATTTGCCCTCTCTCGTGCCTCTGCCACCCCTGAGAAACGGGTACATGTGGCTACCCTTTACCTGCCCCGTCTTCTGGGAGGGCGACATGAGCAGTACCAGTACGTAGATGCAACAGTTCCGTGTTTCTAAAACAGTGAAAGTGAGCGAACACTGCAGGAATTCCAGGAGTTGGGCCCTGACTCGGGAGGGGCGGCTCGTAGGAGCCCAGGTTGGCAGTGAGGAAGGCGCCTTGGCCCGGTGGGTGAGAAAGTGGCTGGCACGTGGCCCTCCCTCCCTTGCCTCCCCTCGGTGCCCCTCTGCTCAGCCCCTTGGCAGCTCTTCCTGAACTTGTTTTTCCAGGCTGCTAATTAACTTCACGCTCGGCTCCCAGGTGGGCCAACTCTCCTGGCTAAACTTTTCCTCAGAGAGAGCGGAGAAAGTGAGCTCCTGCTTCCCATGCTTCCTGGCAGAGCTGGGAGAGGCTGTCTCCACCCCTTACCCCCACCTCCTCTGCTTCTGGGGACCGGGGTGGGGCAGCCCCAGGACTCTGGGTCCCCGGCATCCCCGCAGCCACGGGACAGGTGCCTCCACTAGGTCCTCCCTGGATGGCCATGGAGGGCTCACAGGCTGGAGCCATTCGCCTCAGGCCCACGTCAGCCTGTATTGCCTTCGTAGCCCATTTCTCAGGGAAGTAAAGTGAGGTCAGACAAGGAACTTGAAATTTACCTTTTCAGAAAAGCAGCAGAGAGGAGAAGCTCCAGGCAGAGTTGTCCAAGTAGCGAAAGTGTTGCCTGTGGCCTGCTACTTCCCTTCTCCTTCCTTGCTAGAGCTGATCAACCCGTCCATGTTCAAGTGTGAATAAACTGTGTGTGCTGGGCGTCGGTGTGAAGCCAAAGGCACACATCCCTGGGGTGTGAAACAGCAGTCATCGCGGCGCTGGCTGGGGGCAGCGCTGACAGTCCAGAGAAGGCTCTCCTGGGTGCATGACATGATCCTGCCTGGGCGGCGGTGACGACAGTGTGGGGCAAGGAGCAGGTGCAGTCTGGAAGTTAAACCTGCTGAGTTCAAGTCTGGTTTCTGCCCCTTCCGGGCTATGTGACCTTGGGCGAGCACAGAACCTCTCTGGTACTCAGTTCCTCCCCCTGATGGCGAGATGGTGGGCCTTACGGCACAGGGTCCGGGAGAACGAAGGCGGTAACCCGTACCAGGTGCCCAGCCGTGCCAGGAGAGAGGAGTCCGCTAAGGGACGTGCAGCCCCAGACTCGCTCCTGCTCCAGAAGCCCTGGAGGTGCTGCTGCTTCATTTTTCCAGCTCCCCCTGTAGCCTCTGTCAGTGTTTGGCAGTAGTAAGGGCAAGGTGTGCCTTCTCACCTCCCTGGGCAGACTCTCAGGGAGCAGAGCATCTCTGAGAGGCACGATTAGACAAGAGGCAAGGCCACGGTCAGGTGGAAATCAGGGTGGGGCAGGTGGGGATGCTAAGTGGTCGTGGGGCCCCAGCCCTTCCCCATCAACCTGTTTTAAGCGTGGGCCTCTGCTCAGGAAGGGAGCCCATCCCACACCCCCCGCCCGCCAGGCAGGATGGGCAGCAGCAGGGGGCGTGGGCCTCAGCAACAGGTACCCTGACAGTGGTGAATAACAGATGAAGGCTCCGTAATTGGTGTTATTACACACGCATTTCCTCTCCATTCATAATGATCGGACGCTTAAATCTCTGCCGAGTGCTGCTGTCATCATTCTAGCCGAGATCCCAGCAGCTGTCTAGACCAGCCTCTGCCACACTCGGATCCCAATGGGTGCAGTTTATTTTTTGCTGGAGCTCAGTGTCCCAGGAAATGTCAGTTGTTGGGAAGGGGAGGGGTGGCTATTCTGGGCGGACTCCCCCTGTCTCCTGCCATGGAGCATGCTGTCTTCCCTCGGGCGCTTCTCACTGTCTGGGCAGTTGGCTGGGATATTCTAAGCTGAGGGGTGGGGGAGAGGAGGTGGGTGGGGCCGGGGCCAGGAGGGGGGAGGGGGTCATGTCTGGAGCCTAAAGACTCAGCTGGCAGAAAGAAGCCCCCTGTCTCTGGGCGTATCCCTTATAATGCAGTGGACCTCAAAACAGCGTGCATTAGAATTACCTGGAAGGTTACTGGGCCCTACCCCCAGTATTCCTCATTCAGTAGGTTTATGTGGGGCCCAAGAATTTGTGTTTCTAACTAGTCCCCGAGTGATGCTGCTGCTCCTGCTGGTCCAGGGCCCCACTTTGAGGACCCACTGCCTTAAAGCCTAGTTACCCCAAGTATTGTCTGTGGACCAGCAGCCTCGCCCTGAGAGTTTGTTAGAAATGCAGACTCCTAGGCCCCCGCCTATGACTTCCTGAATCAGAACCACACTTGGACAAGATTCCTAGATGATTTACATACCCGTTACAGTTCAAGAAGTTATAAGGCACAATGGGACTACAGGTGCGCAGAGCTAGGCAGTAGGCGGGGCCAGGCAGCTGGAGTTACCTGTCCAGGTGCTTCCAGCCAGGAGCAGCCTCTGTCTTCTGTGCCCCGTGACAAAGATTGGGAAATACTGCCTTAAGATACCCTAGCAGATGGATAAAGGCCCTCAGAGGGAATTCCAGCCCCTGACCCCATACCATAGTCCTGCCCAATGACCCGTGCCCCCACCCTCCACACACAGGAGGGCGCCCGTCCAGCCCTGACAGGTGCCCCACTGTCCTCCTCACCCACAGGTGGTGGCCTTCGCCTCTCTCTTTTTCATCCTGGTCTCCATCACCACCTTCTGCCTGGAGACCCATGAGGCCTTCAACATTGACCGCAACGTGACAGAGATCCACCGGGTGGGGAACACTACCAGCGTGCACTTCCGGCGGGAGGTGGAGACAGAGCCCATCCTGACCTACATCGAGGGGGTGTGTGTGCTGTGGTTTACACTGGAGTTCCTGGTGCGCATCGTGTGCTGCCCCGACACGCTGGACTTCGTCAAGAACCTTCTCAACATCATTGACTTTGTGGCCATCCTGCCCTTCTACCTGGAGGTGGGACTGAGCGGCCTGTCATCCAAGGCGGCCCGAGACGTACTGGGCTTCCTGCGTGTGGTGCGCTTCGTCCGAATCCTGCGCATCTTCAAGCTCACGCGCCACTTTGTGGGGCTGCGCGTGCTGGGCCACACCCTGCGTGCCAGCACCAACGAGTTCCTGCTGCTCATCATCTTCCTGGCCCTGGGCGTGCTCATCTTCGCCACCATGATCTACTATGCTGAGCGCATTGGCGCCAGGCCCTCTGACCCGCGGGGCAATGACCACACTGACTTCAAGAACATCCCCATCGGCTTCTGGTGGGCCGTGGTCACCATGACGACCCTAGGCTATGGGGACATGTACCCCAAGACGTGGTCAGGCATGCTGGTTGGGGCGCTGTGTGCACTGGCTGGCGTGCTCACCATCGCTATGCCCGTGCCGGTCATTGTCAACAACTTCGGCATGTACTACTCCCTGGCCATGGCCAAGCAGAAGCTGCCTAAGAAAAGAAAGAAGCACGTGCCACGGCCGCCCCAGCTTGAGTCACCCATTTACTGCAAGTCGGAGGACACCTCACCCCGGGACAGCACCTACAGTGACGCCAGCCCCCCTGCCCCAGAAGAGGGTATGGTTGAGAGGAAACGGGCAGGTGAGATTGGGGGTCGGGAAGGAAAGCCACCTCTTCTCCAGTGGCCGAGGGAGTCCCCAGATGAACCTCAGCCCTTGGAATTTGGGATTGTGCTTTACTGCTCCGGGCTTCCCTAAGTATAAGATGTGCCTTTAAGAGTGCAAAGTATTGAGGCCAAACCCCTAGCTTCTGGATTTCCAGTAGCTTTCTGGACATCAGGGTCCGTGAAGTGAGTGTCCCGCCCAGTTTAGGCTTTGAAGGGCAGTGCACGGGGCTGTAAATTCTGATACCACCTTGGCCACCATGCTGTGTGACTTCAGGCCAGTCACTAACCCTCTCTGATCCTCACCTGTAAAATGGGAACGCTCTCCTACTCCCAAGACTCTGATGAGACCCAAACAAATGACAGACATGAGAGGACTTTGAAAAGTAAAAGCCGCTTTACAAGTATCAGGCGTTGTCATTATTAGGTAGAGAGCAGGGCAGCTGTTCTTCCAAGGTGCATCAATGCATGAATCATTCGTTTCCAAACGTTGGAGTCTCATATCTCTTGGCCTAATAAATGCAATAACGTAACAGCAGTGGGAGGCTTCCTTCTGTTCAGCACAAGCTAGATTGAGTCCTGGGCTCAGGGTTTCACATGGGATGGGAGGGAACCAGGAGGGAGTAGCCCAGAGTCAGGCAGGGGGGAAAGGAAGGTGGAGGAAATGGCATCTGCATCTTGGAGGACGGGGAGGGCCTGAGGATCAGGATCCTGCTCCTCAAGGATGGGAAAGGCCACCCCTGGAAGGTTGCTTCTGGCCAAGTCAAGAGATGGGAAAGGAAATAGGCTTAACCCACAGCAACGTGCAGTTAGGCTGGAGAGTGGGAGCCTAAGTGTTAGGCATGGGGTGGGCTCCCGAGGGAGTCTGGGATTCCTAGTCTGGGGAGCCCTTGGATGCCAGGCCATCAGGGAACTGGGGCTGGGCCAAGAGACAAAGGTAGCAGCTTCTGACCAAGCTCTGGGAGCACCCTGGGGGGGGGGGTGCCTGACTTGTGATACCCACCGGCCTGTTGGGGGGTGCCCATTGTACATGCTGGGGCTACTCACTCGCTGGGGTCATGCGGGGGCCTGGGTTTTCCAGAGATGCTGATGGAACAGCACACCCACCAAAGTGGTACCCCCTTCCCCGATCCCTGAGTATAAATCTCAGCCAGTATCTGAGGGAATTTCAGCTGTACTCTGAGGCCCATTCAGAGCTCAGGGGAAACCTGGTGTCAGCACGGACGAGCCCCTGCACCAGCTTCCCAGCGCTCACCTGCCACGCCCCATCAGCTATGCCTCAGCCTGACCCTAACTGGCTGGCCATGCACAGGGCACTCCTAGCCACCCTGCCTTCACACAGAGCAAACCCCTCTCCAGGGCCAAGGGCGTCCCCAGGCTGCTGCCTGACAGAGGCAGGGTGAGCGCCCACAGCAGTGGGAGCCTTTGGAGCCTCTCCTGTGCGGGGTCTTCTCCAGACAGGTGAGCCCCAAGCAGAGGGCTCCAGATCCTTCAGGCACCTGACTCTTCCCTACATGCCCAGTGAACAAGAGAACATGCCTTCGGGGGGCCCAGAGACATAGCCATGGAAGCCAGTTTCTTGGTTTACCCCTGGCGGTGCCAGGCCCCATCCCAGCGAGACAGGCGTTCTCCGAGGGAATGCAAGCTCATCCAGGTGTCCACCTGAGCCAGAGCCCAGGAGGAAGCAGAGTCCGCCACCTGCCTTGGGCTCCACCAGCCTGCAGCCAACAGATTCAGGAACCCCTGCTTACGGCATCTCCGGCCCCACGTCCCAGGAAAGATGCTAGGCCACGGCTGAGAGGGAAGCGGGGCCTCCTGACCCATACCCCCTCCAACCCCCATGCGGGCCCACTCCCTGGCCCTCCCAGGGAGATGCCAGGCCCCCCTTGGTAGGGGAAGTGAAACGCTGGGTCCGGGATCGGAGAGACCGAGGCAAGCCCATGAGGCAGGCCCCGGGCAGCCCCTCACCCAGCCTCCTTTCTGTCTGCCCCCTTTAGACTCCAAGCAGAATGGCGATGCCAACGCGGTGCTGTCAGACGAGGAGGGAGCTGGCCTCACCCAGCCCCTGGCCTCTGCCCCCACCCCTGAGGAGCGCCGGGCCCTGCGACGCTCTGGCCCCCGAGACAAAAACAAGAAGGCAGCGGCCTGCTTCCTGCTCAGCGCTGGGGACTATACCTGTGCCGATGGTAGTGTCCGGAAAGGTATGGCTCCCCGGGCCGGGCAGGGGGGAGCCCCCATGGAGCTGAGTCTCCCCAGAGTCCCCCCAAGACGCAAGGTCCCCTCCTCCCCTGAGGTCTTGGCCACCATCTCCTCTGCCTTGAACGTGCCCCCGCTTTTAAGACGGGTAGCCTGATGCCTGGTCCCTGGATTAGAAAGGCCTCTGGCATCCTCCCCCCGCCTCCCGCCACAGAGCCCAGCCATCCCTCACCCCCAATGCCCATGGTGAAGACAAGGGCCAGAGGGTAAGGGGATAGCAAATCAGGGGCCCCTGTAGTTGCCCTGCCTTTTATCACCACCTCGCCCTCTGGTTCCGGCTGTGACCGCAAGGCCTGGCCCCACGGGAGGGATCACGACCACACTTTCCCTAGCCCTCCCTTAAACACAGCTAAGGTTTCCCAAGTAAGTACTCCCAGAGATGCCAACAGCCTTCAGGAGTCGGGGTGACAGCGAGCTGCTGGTGTGAGGTCTTCGGAGAGCCTAGCACAGGCCCCACCTGCATCAGCCTGCACTAGGCATCCAGGAGCCCAGGGGGCCTGGCCCAGCTCTGTGGGCTCTCGAGGCGGAGCCAGAAGGTGACCAGGAGGTGCGGATGGGGGCACGGTGGGTAGAGAAGTGTGCTCCGGAGGATTTGGAGGGTTCCAGGGAGCAGCCTGTTCTCCACTGTGAGGGCAGGTGGAAGCTCTGTCAGCCGCCCCAAGCTGTGGCGGGAGCGAGGCAGAGGCTGGGCAGCGAAGCTGGGGTTCCTCATCTGCAAAAAGGCACTCGGAAGTGACCGAGGCTGGTTGAGGGCCAGGAGTGGCTGTGAACAAGAGTCTCAGGAGAAGGTGTTCCCATCACTATTTTGTCTTTCGTGCCCTGTCCCTGCCTAAACAGTTCCACGATAAACCTTGACACCCCCAAAACAAAGCTTGTCCCTGTGTTCTCAGACCACTTCTTAGTCTGCCTTCTTTTAGCTGGATCCACCCTCACCTCCCCACCCCCTGCCAAACTTCTTGCTTTCCCCAAACTCCAGAACAAGTGTAGGTTGAATGAGGCAGGGCAGTGGCTGCTGTAGGATTAGCCTGTGATGTCTCTGTCCCCCCCGAGGATGACCCTGGCCTGCCCATCCCATGCAGCCTGCAGGGCACCTTCCCAGCCCTCACCCCTACAGGATTCCCAGGGCACCCTGACCCTAACCAGGCCCTGAGAGGTGTGTGTCCAGCTCTGCTGGGCGTATGTCCTATTGGGCGGCAGCAGCAGGAGTTGCTGTCTGGCAGCTGGAAGGAGATGGCCCAGAGGCCTCAGTTACAGGGCTGCAGACAGAAGGTACCCTCTCCTGTGTCCCTCTGGTCACCCCATCCTCTGTGTCCCTCAGTCCTTGGGCTCTGGATGTGCCTGTCTCTCCTGCTCCCCATCACAAACACACAGCAGCTTCCACTGTGTCCTGGTTCAGACCCAGATATTTGCTTCGGCTGGAGGATGCTAAGTGAGGGCCCAGAATGTGGGGCAGAGGGGCCACCACCTCCCCACAGGACTTAAGCACTCCCATGAGTGTCCAGACCCCTGTTTTCACACCGGTATTGGGAGGGACTCAGCAGCAGTGTGGAAGAGGCTACAAGGGTGCAAGCCAGGAGGGACAGTGAGGTCCTGGGGAGTGGGTCGCACCCAGGGCAGGGGTTGCACGTGTGCGTGCATGGGCCGGAGAGTCTGGAGCACACATACCACCAGATCCCTCTGGGCGCTTGTGCGGCCCGGCTGCTCTATTTTCAAGATGCCTCCACACTGCTTCTTGGCAACAAGCATGTAGCTCAGCCAATTAGAGTGACCTTCGAGAGGGAACAGGTGGGTTGCTGGGAAACAGGCCCTGCTGAGCAAGCGTGGCAATTAGCATCGCCAAACTCCCAGGAAGCACTCAGCAACTTTCCCTGTGCCAGACCATGTCTCACTTCTCTGCACTCAGGCTCCACAGAGGACCTGGAGTGGGGAGCCCGGGGCTCCCCTCAGCCATGGGCACAGACCCCATTGTTAGTCTGTAGCTGCCCGAGTGTCATTGTGCACTTCTGGGAGGAAGGTGCCCAGTGCCAATCAGGGCTTCTCAGAATTGAGAAGAGCGCTAGAGGGATCTTCGCGTAGCTGGAGGGGAGCTTACCGGACAGTTACAGGGCAGAGATCAGCTGTGGGGCCCCGGAGTCTGTACTCTGGAGCCCAGGTGACCTGGAAGCCAGGGAAAGCTAGGGAGCCTTCCCAGGTGGGCCAAACCCTTCAACCAGCCGGGGGCTCCCTGCCCCACAGAGTCCCCCGGAGCATGGATCCCACAGAGCTGCTCAGACAGGGAGCCATGCCCCTCTGACCCATGTGCCTTTTCTTCACCAAGGCTGTGCAAAATCCCGGAGTCTAAACAACATAGCTGGAGCAGCTGGAACCAGTCTGGGGCTGTCTCCACTGGCATCGAGATACAGCTCACCCTACCCTCCACGAAAGCTCCTGCTGTCCAACCACTTCCACCCTCTCACCAGCCCTCCACCTGGACACTCGGCCCCTTAGCTGCGCCCTCGGCCCTCCCCACCTCTGGGCACCCCCTACGCTCACATGCCCTCCAGCCCTCCTTCCTCTGGAGGTCCGAGGGACCCGGGCAGGAGGCAGGAGAACCCAGGCCGCCGAGCCTCTCCTCCGCAGCCCCTGGCTCCCCAGAACATTCAGCTCTGGAGACTGAGAGCAAGGCGGGGGGATTACTCCCAGGGCTGCTCCCCCACCAGTCCCCATCCTGAGCCGGGGCTGCTGGCACCCCACAGGACCCGTGCCTCGGCCTTGCCTCTGCTCAGGGTCCCACCTGCATCACGGCACATGCATCTCCATTCCTCGAGGCCTTCAGTCACTCACTGAATTGCTCTGTCTGTCTGTCTGTCCATCCCACACCCAGACCAGCAAAGAATAAGGCTGTTCGTGGGGCACGCCCATGTCTGCTGGTGTGCAGGGAGCTAGCTGGTCGGGGGAGCGGTGCCCACCCCACCCACCGGGAGAGGAGGCCCCATGTCCTCCAGCTCTGGCATGGCACGCAGGTGGTGGCCTCAGGTGCACGGTTGGCTGCCTTGGCAGGGGAATGCCCTCCCCGGGGAGTGACACCCCACGGCAGAGCCTGGGCGGCCCATCTGCGCCCGGGCCGCTGCACCTCTCCCGCGCTGCTTTCTTGGCTTCCACGACCGTTTTTCTTCCCTCCTTGTCCCGCTGCCTCAGACTCCCAGCCCTGCCTGAGTCACCTGCGCTCCCACCCAGCCTCTGCGCTCTGGATTGCTGCCAGAACCGGAGACTCATCTAATTTCTATAATTAAGTGTATTCATTTACCTAACGAGCCTGGGAGCACAACAGGTTTGTGAGTCATTGAGGGAGCAGGGTGCACCCGGGCAGGGGCAGCTGAGGGGAAGCGTGAGGACAGCACCCCCTCCGGAGCTGGAGCTGGCACCCGAGCTCCCAGGAGGGCCGGCCGGGGCAGGGGGGGGGGGCGGCGGCAGGCGGGGGGGGGGGGGGGCCCTTGGCAGCCTGGGGAGGAGGCTTTCGCCCGCAGCCCCAGGCACATGGAGGCCTCAGCCAAGACATTTCCTGTTTCACCTGATGGGAATTAGACCTGACAGTGGAGCCGCGCGCCTGGCAGTTTTTAGAGCCGGATTATGCAACTTTGGAGAGGGAATGACTAAGGTCCATATCTGTCCCTTCCAGGGTGGGCAAAGATAGGACTGGCAGGACAGCACCCAGGGGTGCAGCAGGAGGCCGGGGCATCTGGAGGCTGCCCGAAGGATGAACAGCGGTCAGATCAGATCGTTCCATGAGGGTTGGGTGCTATGAAAAGCCTGTGCCAGGAGCACCCCCATTTCACTGCCTTCTTCGGCCTGGGGCAGACACAGGAATGTGCCTTCCAGAAAAGTCTGTCCAGGGTGGGTACTGGGATGCCGCAGCCCTGTTGTGGTCCATGGGGCCTGTCTCCTGCTTGCTCTGAGAATGAAAGGTCCCCTTGAGAGATGAGAAAATGCAGGGGCATCCATGTGACCAGCCTTCAGAAGGGGACAGGCCCCCTTGAGTGACAGGAACAGGGGAGCTCTGTGGAGCAGGATGGAGGCTCTAGGAGCCCTGTCACCGCGGGGCCTGGGAGCCTAGCTGCTTCTCCTTGGTGGGGACAGACTGAGTCCTGTCCCCGCAGGGCTCCCTGGCACCAGGGTCCTGGCCCTGGTGGGGACGTGATGAGCTAGGTGTCCAGCTGAGCACAGGCCCCACAGCTCTTCTGTCCTTGGGCTTGCCTTCCTGGCTCGGGGAGCTGAGGTGGCTATTTCTGTGGCGGCCCTCAAGTTGTCAGGAGTCCAAGTTTCCACGGCACCCACCTCCTCCTTCCCTCTCTTCCCTCCCACGGGGATGGGCATGCTCATGGCACCCCTCTGGTGGGTGCAGCTGTCCCTGGGCGACATGATTCGGCAGTGCTAGGCTGAGGCCCCTAGTGCCGTGGGAGACCACACCCGCCTGTCCCCCCACTGGCTCTCTGGCTTCTGTAAGGGAAACACGGGCCCTAGCTAACAGGACAGCTACCTCTCTGGGCCTCTGGGCCTCCGGGGCCCTGGGAAGGGGCAAAGTGAGTCCTGGGGTTCACAGAGACCCACGGTACACCAGGCCCTGCCTAGGGAGGCGGCTGCCTACGTGGGCTTCAGCTTATCCAGGCCTTGGGACTCCCTCCTCAGGAGAAGGCTCTTCCACTACAGTCTGAGGGCACAGTTTGCTTTATGTTGCACGTAGACTCGGACCTGTACTCATTATTTTGTCTTCTAGAAGCCTTTCCCGCACAGTGGGGGCTCCCTCCCGGCACAGCAGGGCAGCTGCCCAGATAGGAGTTGTTAACCTTACTGACAACCTTACAGGCCATTTCCCAACCCCCAAGACTTTTGGGAGGAGCTGTGGGCTGAACCTAGAGAAGATGTCTGTTCAGCGTAGGCCCGGGAGTCAAAGGGGAGACGGAGTGTCAGCCCAGGGCTGGGACTCCGGGAGTCACCACTTGGGCCCTGGGCTGCCCTTTCACAGAGCCTCCTGAGGGAGGAGGGCCTCCTCTGCCCTGGCCAGAGAGCATCACCCCCAAATCCCTGCCCCTACGGCAGCCCCTTGCCTGCCTTCTGTGCCCCCACTGGGAAGGTAGGAGAAGGGGAGGCCCAAGCCACTGACACTCCAGGCTGAGGATGGGGTGCCGAGAAGGGCTCACTGAGTGGCTGGGTTTCTCAATAAGATGCTCTTTCCTGGCTTTGTCTCCTGAGATGGACACATGCCTCCTCCCTGACCTTCCCCTTCAGGACCTACCCTCCAACTGCTCAAATTCTGCTCCAGCCAGATTGAGGAAGGGGGGCTAGGCACCACATGGCAGCGCACTCGGGAACCTTCTTCCCCAGCCCCCCTAGGACAGCAGACTGGCCCCAGGGAGTGAGGGGAGCGGGAGGCTGTGTGGGAATGGGGAGCCCGAGCTGGACCACAGGCCACGCCAGGATCCGGGCCAGGCTGTGAGGCTGTGGTCCCTCTGTCCACTGCACTGGAGTTGTGAAGACCTAGGGCTAGGGATTTCTGGAACTCATTACCTGAGCAGGTACGGAGATACACTGTAGCATCACCTATGAGTCACTTTGGCCCAGCGCTGGGTAGGCAGCCAGGGGCTGCAGGAGAGGCTCACCCCATCCCCTGACCCACCCCTGCTCTTCCTGGTGTCCTAGCCCTGGGTCCCCATGCCTTCCAGCTCTGCTCCTGGCCTAGCCCTTAGCCCACAGCCCGTGGGTCAGCAGCCAGCTTCCTTCTAACATCTCATTCTTTGTTTCTCCCTTTCTTTTGCTGAACTCCTTGCCCCCCCCAGAAGGCAATGTTGAGCTGAAAGCGTGCGTCCCAGTGTCTCACACCTGTGCTCTTTAAACACAGAGACCTGCCACGACGCCCTCTCGCCCAGCTATGCCCAGGCTGAAGTCCTCACCCTCTCTTAAGCGGCACCAACGTGAGAGAGGCAGGCAGACAGACAGAAAGCCAAAGGCTTAGGGAAACTCTGGAACCCTGGCAAGAATCATTCAGAGATCCTTGTTTGCACAGGACTGACGGAAAACCTCCCGTGTGACCCTCCGGGCCCAGAGCCATCTGGGTCCGATGTTCTGTTCTGTTGTGCCCTGAAGAGATATATATGCACATATGATATCTATATTCATACCTGCTATACTTGTGTGTGTAGTGCACGTGCTATTGGTGGTCTGTCTTCCCTGTGGGGCTCTGTCTCCGAGCCGATGCCCCACCCCCAGGCCCCCCGCCCTTCTGCTCACTGACGCCTTGTTTCTGCTGAACGCCCACGTGGAATGTCCCAGGGAGAGAGCCTCTGGGGACTGCCAGTTCCCAGCCTGGACTCGCCCTCTTGGGGTTGTTTCCCCGGTGGCCGGTGGTCTGTGGAAGGCCTGCCTGCCCACCCTCACCCCCTGCCCTGGGTCACTGCTCCACCAGCCCCACCCCACCCCAGATTGGGGTTCTACCTCCCACCCCACACCCCAGTTCTGGGGGGACTTTTAGGGGCTCCTCTCCTGCAGCTTCTTCCACCTTCTCTGTGTCTTGGACTGAGGGGGTATTTCATCTTTTCTTATTTTGGGGTATTTGTTCTGTCCTCTTCGTCCATTTGTTTTCAAAGATGCTGCTGGGCAGACGGGCAGGAAAGGGGCCTGTCTGCCCATCCGGCTCAGGGGTCTGAGAAGGGGAAGCCTCGGGCGAGTGGAGACCAGTTACAATACTGTCCTTCCTGGCCGGTGGCCAGAGGCTGCGTGCAATAGCAGAGGCCGGGTGACCCTTTCGACCTTGGCCTCTGCCCCTCCCTCGGGCCTCCTGCCCTGCTGCCCCGCCCCGCCTCGGCCCTCCCTACTGTTGGTCAGTCCTTGTCCACAGCTGTCCCCTGGTGTGTGTCTGGGGCATGCCTAGGCCGGGCCCTGCGCCCTGTCTGCATGCCTCCCCTGTCACGCTGTGCTCGAGCCCCAATAAAGACATCTGGAGCATCCTGCTGCTCCTGCCGCGAGCGACTGCCTCTGCCTCTCCTTTCCGGCTCTGTGTCTGTGGGGACGTCCCCGGGCTGCCACCCCGACACCTGAGAGATGCAACACACTCCTATCCCAGCCTCATAGCACACTCCTATCCCTGCCCCCTCCGGGGATCGTCCATACTGGCAACCACTGCATATTTGTGCAGGGCCGGGGCTACTCCCGGGGCCCAGCTGGCTGTGTGGGCCGAGCCCTGGGGCTGCCAGGGTAGTGGCGATGCCTGGGTCGCCATGGATGGAGTCGACAGGGTGCTGGTGGCACCCTGGGCCGAGTCAGGGATGGGCAGTGACGGGACGGTGGGCCCCTGGGGGGGTGGCGAGTGATGGCGACACACGGCCCTGATGGGGGTTCCCACTCACCTGGCGGCACGTGCAGGGCAGGCTGCGGGCACACAGCCTACAGGCTCCTTGGGCCACACGCCCGGCTCCGTGCTCCGCTGCCGCCACCTCGAGGCCTCCAAGTGGCGCCCTCCCCCTGGCCCCCGGGAGCGGGCCTGAGTCGGGTCTGCCATCGGCCAGTGGCGCGCCCAGGGGAGCTCACCTGGCCTCGGGTTCCCTGCCCTAGAAGCGGATCACGAGGGCCCGAGTTGGGGACAGGCCCGGCCAGGCCCCCAGCTCTCCTGTGCTTTGCAGCGGCCCCCCGGGAGCGGGGCACGGGCGCCGAGGGCAGGGGCAGCGGCCTGGGCCGCGGGGCTTGGAGGCCCTGGAGCCGCGGGCTGAGGCTGGGCGGCGGCCCCGCCGTCAGGTAAACACGCCTCCTGCGCTCCGGTCGGAAGGCCTCCCAGGGGCCTGGCCGTGGCCGGGCGCGAGGCTCTGCGGCCTCAACCGTAGTACGCAGCACGGCCCATGGCCCAGATGGCCGCTTTTTTGTTTTGTGTTTTTGTTGCTGAGTGTGGAACTGTTTCACCATTTCATGGTCAGGGTCCAGGAACCAGCCCGCAGCCCAGGGGCACCAGGTGCCAGGAGCCCCTCAGGGACCCACAGAGATGCAGCTGGGGTCCCTGGCAACACTCCGGTGACAGACTCCTGGAGGGGGCAGGGGTGGCAAGCAGGGGCAGAGGGTTGGGTGAGAGAACGGGCCACTCCTCTGTCTCAGCTCACAGAAACAGTGGGCACTGCTGTCGGGGAAGAAAGGCTGTGGCTTCTTCGGAAAGCAGGGGCTGAGCCCCAATTAGGGGACAGGACACTGGTGTCCAAGACCGACTCTGGCAGCCAGACACACTGGCTTCCTAGTTGTGTGACCCGAGGCCAGTTCCTTAAGCCGCGTGGACCTTGGTTTCCTTCTCTGTGGAATGGGAGTAAGGGTAGCGCCCACCTCACGGAGCCGTTGGCAGACCTCAGGGAGCCGCGCCCGTGGAGCCCTGGGCACACCGTCCAGCGTGTAATCGTGCCTACAAATCCTGGGGGCAGGCCGAGAGCTGTAGAGCAACCAGCCCCATAAGTCACCCCGGTCTGGCTTAGGGCCTCACCTTCCAAGTAAGTGCTACGAATTAGCCTCATTTCATTCTGTCCAGCCCTCCTGTCCTTGTGCGGAGGCAGAGTGGCGGTCATCTTATCAGATTGACGTGTATTGAGTGCTGGGCGATGCATCCAGTGCTCTCAAAAATGCATTCCAAGATTGGTGTGATCATCCTCCTTGCTTCACAGAGAAAACCGCAGCGCAGCCATAGGGCTCATTTCTCCAAGGTCACAGAGCCCGGGAGCAGAAGAGCTGGGACCCAAACCCAAGCAGTCTGGCTCCGTGAGTCCAAGGCCTCACTGCTTTTTAAACGGCAAAGGGCTTCAAAGTCGGAGCTCTGAGCGTAGGGATTTGTGCTTTTGCTGTGTTTCATTTCATGCATGTCCACTGTCCACTGATTCTGATAGCAAAGGTTTCATTTGCCCCTTTCACAGAGAAGAGAGGATTGAGGAAGTGAGCGATCTGGTGGTGCCTGCCCTGATCCACACACACACACACACACACACACACACACACAAATGGGGATGATAGGCCCTGTTAATTAATTAGCATAACACCCAGCTCAGAATTATTGGTTCCTTCCTCTGCAACCCACTGAGTTTTGTTGTCTGAGGCTCAGAAGTGGGTGACTGAGATGGGGTCTGGTCTGGAAACCAAGTTACAGCCGGAGAGCAGGAGCCGCTCAGCCTGGAGAAAAAACGGGATCTCCATCTAAAGTGTTTGATGCGCATCCCAGGGCAAGTGGGTTTAGCTTATTTTCTGATCCCAGGGAGCAGACCTGGGACCAGTAGGTGGAAATATTAGGACAGATCAGGTTCATATAATGATGAACCTGACTTTTTATTTTCCTTACTATTATGAATTTCACACACGGTATGGAAAGCATCCCAAATCAACAGGGAAGGAAGGCCCTGTCACGCTGTTAGTGCTACGCACCTCCTTGGAGGCGCCACAGTTAACACTGGTGTTGGGTCCTTCCAGGCCTTGGGAAGGAGAAGCTTTCTAACAGACCGGCTAAATAGGAATGGCCACCCTGTGGGTATGAGGTTCCCATCCCTGGACATGTCTGGAGAGACAGCAGGTGGTCACGTGCCAGGGTTTGTGGGAAGAATTTCTGCTGGGCGTGGAAGGCTGAATTAGAAGACCTCTTCCAGTTCTCACACATTGTTCTTGGGCTGGGTAGGGGGTGGCACCACGCAGCTACTTAGAGGTGCAGACCCCCCTGGAGCCCAGGTCATCCTAACAGGACCCAGATAAACTCATTTCCCAGCATGATGTTCCCCAAAGTCCTTTACTGTGGAGCGGAACTCCCTGCTAGACTCCCTGTCTGCGTCTCTCCCGCCAACCATGGTGTACGCCAGGGCAGAGACTGGCATCTGTGGTATATCTGGTCCGACAACTTGGTTGATGCCCTGTGCTTGGGCTGACAATGTGTAGCCAGCACCGCCCCCCCTCCAGCCTCCCGGGGCCCTGCCAGCATCATCACCATGAGCATCTGCCTTCTTTGCCAGGCTCCAGGGCTTTGTGGGATTGACACAACAGGTGACACACGAGCTGGCCCAGACACCTGGGGCTGTGGTCACCATACCTAAGCCCCGGACAGCATGTGTCGCTCTCAGGACCACAAATGCTGCTAGGGACCCTGGGACTTGCTCTCTCCTGGGGAACCTCAGCTTGGGCCTGGCCATAGCTAGCGTCACGGGCTGAGGAGAGGGAGCCAGAGGAGAGTTGGCATGGCTCCAGGTCAGAGGGGTCAGAGGCCTTCTGCTGTTGGCGCTGGAAGCTTCTCCTTTTCTCACAGGGCTGAGGGGCCAGCCTGTATCCCTACCCCCACCCTCACTCCCAGGCACCATATTTACCTGTCTTTACGGCTACTCCCTAAGAGTCTCCCCAAACTGCAGGGCTCTGCTTTCTTTGCTGAGTAAGGGCCCCTGCTTCCTAAATCAATTCCTGGTGTGGGGAGAGGGGGTGGCCAGAGGAGGTCCCTTCCTTCTCCCTCTACACTTTCCTAGGTGATCTCATCCACTCCTACAGTCTTTTTTTAAAAAGATTTTATTTATTTATTCATGAGAGACATACACAGAGAGGCAGAGACACAGGCAGAGGGAGAAGCAGGCTCCCTGCGGGGACCCCAATGGGGGACTCGATCCCAGGACTCCTGGATCATGCCCTGGGCCGAAGGCAGACACTCAACCGCTGAGCCACCCAGGGACCCCCACCCCTACAGTCTTAAAACATCTTCCAGGACCTAGCAACAGCCACGTTGGTAGGTCCAGCCGGGAACATTGCTCTCAACTCCATTTGTTCATTCAACAGAGTGAGCTTCTTCTCTACTCCCAGCACTGCTTTCTGTGTTGGGTGTCCATCAGTGAGCAGAGCGTACAGCCCCGCCCCCGCTCCCCACACCTGCTCACCCTGCCCACTCGGCCCCTCCCAGGCATCTCCATGCCCCACTTCACGGCTCTCCCCTCCCTCTTCCACCCCCATCCAGCCCAAGGCTGAGCCAGAAACTGGGATGTTGTGGTTAACCCGTCCCTCTCATACCTTAATTCACTCACTCACTCACCACACGTTAAATCTTTACCAAATGCCCACACCGCATCTGGGGGAGCCAGCAGTGAACCAGGCCAGCAGGACCCCTGCCCTCAGGGAGCTTACATTACAATGTCAAGGGGGAGAGAGGCCAAAAGACCAGTACGTTAAAAATATATGTAATGGCACGTGGGTAGCTCAGTGGTGAGCATCTGCCTTCGGCTCAGGTCGTGATCCCGGGGTCCTGGGATCCAGGCACAGGGGGCTCCTGCCTCTCCCTCTGCCTGTGTCTCTGCCTCTCTGTTTCTCATGAATAAATAAATAAAATCTTTAAAATATATATATGTGTGTGTGTGTGTGTGTGTGTGTGTAATGATCCCTCCCCCTCATTCCTACCCATTACAGCCCTGTTCCCAGCTCCCAGGTGCACTTCCATCTCCCCCTCTTCGTCCTGGGCACCCGGCTGCCTTTCCACAAGCCAGGCCTCCCAGCCCCCCCAGCCTGGCCTTCTTAGAACCGACCCCAGACACTGCACCCCGGCTTAACCCCTCCAAGGCTGGATTCCCACTGCATTTGGAATAAAATCCAAACTCTGTCAAGGTAAGGGGGACCCTCAAGGACCTGGGCTTGCCAGGCCCCTCCCTGCCTCTGCCCTGTCGCCCCCCGCTGGGGGCGGGGAACACAGGTGCCCACCTGCGCCGCCTCCTTTGCCGGGCTGACTTCTCTTCCACCCCCTGGCTTTCACTGTCCCTCCCCTGGTGGCCCCTCCAGCGTCCCGGGTTCCTGGCTCCGGGTGCAGGTGCATCGCACGCTTTGGAGCCCTGGAGGTGTCTCCTGCCCACCCCGAGGTGCTGGGCCCCGCTGGGGCTGGGGCACCGGGATGCTGTGCAGTAAACCGCCGCTCAGCTGCACACCCCCCACCCCCCCACACCCCCGCTGTCTCAGCTGGCTCCTGCACCTCACTTCTAGGGCATCCCTGGGAGTCCTTG